TGTTCTCCTGTTTCTCCATACATCCACGTGTTTGTCTTTTGAGACGCCTCTAAAGTCGTCTCTGTTCTCCTGTTTCTCCATACATCCACGTGCTTGTCTTTTGAGACGCCTCTAAAGTCGTCTCTGTTCTCCTGTTTCTCCATACATCCACGTGCTTGTCTTTTGAGACGCCTCTAAAGTCGTCTCTGTTCTCCTGTTTCTCCATACATCCACGTGTTTGTCTTTTGAGACGCCTCTAAAGTCGTCTCTGTTCTCCTGTTTCTCCATACATCCACGTGCTTGTCTTTTGAGACGCCTCTAAAGTCGTCTCTGTTCTCCTGTTTCTCCATACATCCACGTGCTTGTCTTTTGAGACGCCTCTAAAGTCGTCTCTGTTCTCCTGTTTCTCCATATATCCACGTGCTTGTCTTTTGAGACGCCTCTAAAGTCGTCTCTGTTCTCCTGTTTCTCCATACATCCACGTGCTTGTCTTTTGAGACGCCTCTAAAGTCGTCTCTGTTCTCCTGTTTCTCCATATATCCACGTGCTTGTTTTTTGAGACGCCTCTAAAGTCGTCTCTGTTCTCCTGTTTCTCCATACATCCACGTGTTTGTCTTTTGAGACGCCTCTAAAGTCGTCTCTGTTCTCCTGTTTCTCCATACATCCACGTGCTTGTCTTTTGAGACGCCTCTAAAGTCGTCTCTGTTCTCCTGTTTCTCCATATATCCACGTGCTTGTCTTTTGAGACGCCTCTAAAGTCGTCTCTGTTCTCCTGTTTCTCCATACATCCACGTGCTTGTCTTTTGAGACGCCTCTAAAGTCGTCTCTGTTCTCCTGTTTCTCCATATATCCACGTGTTTGTTTTTTGAGACGCCTCTAAAGTCGTCTCTGTTCTCCTGTTTCTCCATACATCCACGTGTTTGTCTTTTGAGACGCCTCTAAAGTCGTCTCTGTTCTCCTGTTTCTCCATACATCCACGTGTTTGTCTTTTGAGACGCCTCTAAAGTCGTCTCTGTTCTCCTGTTTCTCCATACATCCACGTGTTTGTCTTTTGAGACGCCTCTAAAGTCGTCTCTGTTCTCCTGTTTCTCCATACATCCACGTGCTTGTCTTTTGAGACGCCTCTAAAGTCGTCTCTGTTCTCCTGTTTCTCCATATATCCACGTGCTTGTCTTTTGAGACGCCTCTAAAGTCGTCTCTGTTCTCCTGTTTCTCCATACATCCACGTGTTTGTCTTTTGAGACGCCTCTAAAGTCGTCTCTGTTCTCCTGTTTCTCCATACATCCACGTGCTTGTCTTTTGAGACGCCTCTAAAGTCGTCTCTGTTCTCCTGTTTCTCCATATATCCACGTGCTTGTCTTTTGAGACGCCTCTAAAGTCGTCTCTGTTCTCCTGTTTCTCCATACATCCACGTGCTTGTCTTTTGAGACGCCTCTAAAGTCGTCTCTGTTCTCCTGTTTCTCCATATATCCACGTGTTTGTTTTTTGAGACGCCTCTAAAGTCGTCTCTGTTCTCCTGTTTCTCCATACATCCACGTGTTTGTCTTTTGAGACGCCTCTAAAGTCGTCTCTGTTCTCCTGTTTCTCCATACATCCACGTGCTTGTCTTTTGAGACGCCTCTAAAGTCGTCTCTGTTCTCCTGTTTCTCCATATATCCACGTGCTTGTCTTTTGAGACGCCTCTAAAGTCGTCTCTGTTCTCCTGTTTCTCCATACATCCACGTGTTTGTCTTTTGAGACGCCTCTAAAGTCGTCTCTGTTCTCCTGTTTCTCCATACATCCACGTGCTTGTCTTTTGAGACGCCTCTAAAGTCGTCTCTGTTCTCCTGTTTCTCCATATATCCACGTGCTTGTCTTTTGAGACGCCTCTAAAGTCGTCTCTGTTCTCCTGTTTCTCCATACATCCACGTGCTTGTCTTTTGAGACGCCTCTAAAGTCGTCTCTGTTCTCCTGTTTCTCCATATATCCACGTGCTTGTTTTTTGAGACGCCTCTAAAGTCGTCTCTGTTCTCCTGTTTCTCCATACATCCACGTGTTTGTCTTTTGAGACGCCTCTAAAGTCGTCTCTGTTCTCCTGTTTCTCCATACATCCACGTGTTTGTCTTTTGAGACGCCTCTAAAGTCGTCTCTGTTCTCCTGTTTCTCCATACATCCACGTGTTTGTCTTTTGAGACGCCTCTAAAGTCGTCTCTGTTCTCCTGTTTCTCCATACATCCACGTGTTTGTCTTTTGAGACGCCTCTAAAGTCGTCTCTGTTCTCCTGTTTCTCCATACATCCACGTGTTTGTCTTTTGAGACGCCTCTAAAGTCGTCTCTGTTCTCCTGTTTCTCCATACATCCACGTGTTTGTCTTTTGAGACGCCTCTAAAGTCGTCTCTGTTCTCCTGTTTCTCCATACATCCACGTGCTTGTCTTTTGAGACGCCTCTAAAGTCGTCTCTGTTCTCCTGTTTCTCCATACATCCACGTGTTTGTCTTTTGAGACGCCTCTAAAGTCGTCTCTGTTCTCCTGTTTCTCCATACATCCACGTGTTTGTCTTTTGAGACGCCTCTAAAGTCGTCTCTGTTCTCCTGTTTCTCCATACATCCACGTGCTTGTCTTTTGAGACGCCTCTAAAGTCGTCTCTGTTCTCCTGTTTCTCCATATATCCACGTGCTTGTCTTTTGAGACGCCTCTAAAGTCGTCTCTGTTCTCCTGTTTCTCCATACATCCACGTGCTTGTCTTTTGAGACGCCTCTAAAGTCGTCTCTGTTCTCCTGTTTTCTCCATATATCCACGTGCTTGTTTTTTGAGACGCCTCTAAAGTCGTCTCTGTTCTCCTGTTTCTCCATACATCCACGTGTTTGTCTTTTGAGACGCCTCTAAAGTCGTCTCTGTTCTCCTGTTTCTCCATACATCCACGTGCTTGTCTTTTGAGACGCCTCTAAAGTCGTCTCTGTTCTCCTGTTTCTCCATATATCCACGTGCTTGTCTTTTGAGACGCCTCTAAAGTCGTCTCTGTTCTCCTGTTTCTCCATACATCCACGTGCTTGTCTTTTGAGACGCCTCTAAAGTCGTCTCTGTTCTCCTGTTTCTCCATATATCCACGTGTTTGTTTTTTGAGACGCCTCTAAAGTCGTCTCTGTTCTCCTGTTTCTCCATACATCCACGTGTTTGTCTTTTGAGACGCCTCTAAAGTCGTCTCTGTTCTCCTGTTTCTCCATACATCCACGTGTTTGTCTTTTGAGACGCCTCTAAAGTCGTCTCTGTTCTCCTGTTTCTCCATACATCCACGTGTTTGTCTTTTGAGACGCCTCTAAAGTCGTCTCTGTTCTCCTGTTTCTCCATACATCCACGTGCTTGTCTTTTGAGACGCCTCTAAAGTCGTCTCTGTTCTCCTGTTTCTCCATATATCCACGTGCTTGTCTTTTGAGACGCCTCTAAAGTCGTCTCTGTTCTCCTGTTTCTCCATACATCCACGTGCTTGTCTTTTGAGACGCCTCTAAAGTCGTCTCTGTTCTCCTGTTTCTCCATATATCCACGTGCTTGTTTTTTGAGACGCCTCTAAAGTCGTCTCTGTTCTCCTGTTTCTCCATACATCCACGTGTTTGTCTTTTGAGACGCCTCTAAAGTCGTCTCTGTTCTCCTGTTTCTCCATACATCCACGTGTTTGTCTTTTGAGACGCCTCTAAAGTCGTCTCTGTTCTCCTGTTTCTCCATACATCCACGTGTTTGTCTTTTGAGACGCCTCTAAAGTCGTCTCTGTTCTCCTGTTTCTCCATACATCCACGTGTTTGTCTTTTGAGACGCCTCTAAAGTCGTCTCTGTTCTCCTGTTTCTCCATACATCCACGTGTTTGTCTTTTGAGACGCCTCTAAAGTCGTCTCTGTTCTCCTGTTTCTCCATACATCCACGTGTTTGTCTTTTGAGACGCCTCTAAAGTCGTCTCTGTTCTCCTGTTTCTCCATACATCCACGTGCTTGTCTTTTGAGACGCCTCTAAAGTCGTCTCTGTTCTCCTGTTTCTCCATACATCCACGTGTTTGTCTTTTGAGACGCCTCTAAAGTCGTCTCTGTTCTCCTGTTTCTCCATACATCCACGTGCTTGTCTTTTGAGACGCCTCTAAAGTCGTCTCTGTTCTCCTGTTTCTCCATATATCCACGTGCTTGTCTTTTGAGACGCCTCTAAAGTCGTCTCTGTTCTCCTGTTTCTCCATACATCCACGTGCTTGTCTTTTGAGACGCCTCTAAAGTCGTCTCTGTTCTCCTGTTTCTCCATATATCCACGTGTTTGTTTTTTGAGACGCCTCTAAAGTCGTCTCTGTTCTCCTGTTTCTCCATACATCCACGTGTTTGTCTTTTGAGACGCCTCTAAAGTCGTCTCTGTTCTCCTGTTTCTCCATACATCCACGTGTTTGTCTTTTGAGACGCCTCTAAAGTCGTCTCTGTTCTCCTGTTTCTCCATACATCCACGTGTTTGTCTTTTGAGACGCCTCTAAAGTCGTCTCTGTTCTCCTGTTTCTCCATACATCCACGTGTTTGTCTTTTGAGACGCCTCTAAAGTCGTCTCTGTTCTCCTGTTTCTCCATACATCCACGTGTTTGTCTTTCGAGACGCCTCTAAAGTCGTCTCTGTTCTCCTGTTTCTCCATATTTCTAATTTTTCGTTCATGTGTGCTTGCCCATCTTGTGTGTGGCAGTGGTCCTGTTGGAGGCCGTGTTTGGCATGCACCTCAAAAGTTGTCATAAAAGAGATGTTTTGAGACGTCTCGGTTTTTGAGAATTCTCAAAAACCAACTTGAGACGTCTCGAAACATCTCTTTTATCACGTTTGGCATGGGCCTCAAAAGTTGTTTTGAGGTGCTGCGCCTCAATAGCCCATCTTGCCTGTGGCTCTGTCTCCTCTACTTGCAGGCCGTGTTTGGCATGCGCTGGGCGCCATTTTTCTCGCTCGATTCCTGTGCTTCACCACCTCTCCTATTCGTTCTCCTCGCCTTTCTCTGTGTGTTTGCTCATCTCACCCTCTCGCCCACACCCCCTGCAGTCCGTGTTTGGAGTGCCTCCGGTGTTGAAGGGCAAGGGAGTGGCAGCACAGCGAGTGGCGCAGGCCATGAGTCAACTCATGAAGGAGCAGAAGTCGCACGTGGCACCTGTAGGCCTGCTCTGCTGCCAGTAGGAGTACTACAACATTTGTTTGTCACATGCATGTCACACGTTCGTGCATGCCTCTCAATTGCTCATTCGGTCCGTGACATGGTGCTTCTCGAACCATCTGCAGTACTTTGCGTTCCATCTGCCAGTTCCTGGCTTGAGCTTGTTTCTTAATTTGGTGGATTGGCTAGAGAAGCAACCTACTGGATTGTGGTGTGGTGTGGTGTGGTGCGGTGATCGCAGGTGGAGCATCCAAGTGTTGACATGATGGTGCTGATAGACAGACAGGTGGACATGGTGACGCCAGCATGCACCCAACTCACATACGAAGGGCTGCTCGATGAGGTCAGCATGCCTTGACAGATGACGTCAGCATGTCTTGTTGAATGACATCAGCATGTTCTGATGTCCAACCCCCTCTCTGCATTCTAGTCATCCCTCCCCGCTCCCCCAACCTCTCCTTCCCCCCAGCTGCGCTGCACGTAGCAAACGGAGCAGGGGAGGTGGATCCGGCAGTCATAGTAGTTGGCTCTTCATTGCGCCTCTTCTACTATCAATCCATCGCTCTGCCGTCTTATCATCTCTCCTCTCTCCCCACCCCCTCTCCCCCACCCAGCTGCTGCACGTAGCAAACGGAGCAGTGGAGGTGGATCCGGCAGTCATGGGGGTGACGTCTAATGCCAGGAAGATTAAAGTTCCCCTCAACTCCAAGTGAGCAGGGGAGTGAGGGGGCATGGGTTCATATCAAAGTGCTTAGAATAGACGAGTATGATTCATTGTCTTGACACAAGGACCGTGCTGCAGTCATGGGGGTGACGTCTAATGCCCGGAAGATTAAAGTGCCTCTCAACGCCAAGTAGGTGGGGGAGCGAGGGGCTACGGATTGAAAGTGAGAGAGTGTAGAATAGACAAGACGAGTATGCGTTTTTTTTTTTCTTCTTCTTTTCTTTTTCCTTTTTACTGGAGGGCTGTTCGATTTTGGGATAGAATAGCAAGAAGGCGTGAGGGTAAGAAAAGCATGTTATATGCCTGTATTGATGCTCCATGCTGAGGCAATCAGGGAAAATATGGTGAAAAGAGAAGGGAAATCCTTGTGCCTTTGCTTTGTGTGCTTCAGTCCTTCTCTGCTCCTTGTGTGAGAGTCAGCTCCACAGTTCTTGAGCAAGTTGACTTTTGAGTCAACTCAAAAGTCAATTGTGTGAGTCAGCTCCACGGTTCTTGAGCAAGATGTTAAATCTTAAATGCTTCATACATATTGCCCTCCTCGCCCTCCTCACTTCACCCGTCTCTTTGCAGTGACAAGCTGTTTCAGGACCTCAGAGGCCGCAACTTTGGATCAGCAGCAGAGGTGAGGTGCTTCACATTGTATCACACCGCATAGCACCACACCACATCACACCACATAACATCACATCACATCACACCACATCACATCACATCACATCCCATCACATCACATCACATCACATCACACCACATAACATCACATCACATCACACCACATCACATCACATCACATCCCATCACATCACATCCCATCACATCACATCCCATCACATCACATCACATCACATCCCATCACATCACATCCCATCACATCACATCACATCACATCACATCACATCACATCACACCACATCACATCACATCACATCACATCACAT